AGAGGCAAGCCATTAAGATGATGCTGGATTGATTCAATTGTATATAGACCCCTGCTGTCTGCCTCCGGCACCTGCTACTTTGGAGTTCTAGCGGGATTTCCTGGGGAGTTCGCGTTGGTTGGTAAAGTTCCGGTGGAAGGAGTTCTGGTTGGTGTGGTGTGCCAGAGAGGGGCCGAGTGGGTGGTGTTCTGGAGAGTTCCCCAGGGAGTGTGCGTGGAGTGCTGTTGGAGTTCAGGCAATAAAGTTTCCTGTTTGAACATACAAGTGCTTTGTGGCGGCTTGGTGATTTGTGCCCAGCCAGACTGCGGCACATGGGGGCCGTGTTGATAGCCACCTCAGTGATGTGATTTGAGAAGCAATCACATCACTCAATCTCAAGTACCTTCCTCACCGTGTGTCATGGTTCTGCCAGCTCCTCCATTCATTCATCTGAATCAAGTCAGTGATTCTGATCTCTAGGAAATCTATCAATTCAACTTCAACGCCCTATAGTAGTTTGGTAGCTGCCGAAACAAAATGCTGCAGACAAGGGGGCCTAACAACAGAAGCATCAGTGGATGCTTGTGTTTCTTCTTCACAGCGCCCATCAGTGGTCTTGTCTGCAGCCCTGATTCTGTGGCGTTTGCCTGGGGAGGAGGTTCCTTCTTCTTGCCTACAGCTAGTCATTGAAATTCCACTGTAAAGGAAAGCTGTCTTTCTCTTTTGTTATTTGTTTTTTAATTTGCTTACTTATTTAGCAACATGGATATTTATTTTATTCTAAGTTCAAATCCAATACTGTATTTATGTTTTTCACTAAGCTTTTTTAGCTTTTGACTTCAGGTTGGTTCCTTTGTTCTTTTGAGAGACTCTTGTCTTTTTTTTTTTTTTTTTTAAGCATTTTCTTATTTTCTGACACGACTAGATGTTCCAGGCTTATCTTGTGTTTGCTATGTCTTGGCTTCAGAATCAGCCACTTCTCCAAAAGTCCTTGCTACTTTTATTGGAGAGGGGTGTGTAAAGACCAAAATCTGTGTTGTAGGTGTGCTCATTACCCCTGAGGCGCTCTTTCTTTTAGGCCCTCAAAATAGAGGCCTAGGCAATGCATGTATGTAAGCTGCACCTTTCTCTTTCCTTCTCCCTCCCTTCTTTCCCTCTGCCTCTTTAAAAACTATGGATTTATGTTATACTGATACCCATGATTCTAAACTAATACCATGGGGATATTTTAAACTTTTTTTTCCCTTATTTGTGACAACAAACCCATCTCCCCTGGCTCTCATTATCTACATTGTATTTACTTACTTGTTCAATCTTAACTATGTACATAAAGTCATTTCAGAACTGCTAGCCTTTACACCTGAAGAAAAACGTCAACTCACTAGATCACCGCATTTATGTGTAATCTGTGCCTTCAATTTTATGGTAATCAATCAGAATATTGTGTTCAACTGTTGACTAAACTAGTTATTTTCTTCTCCATCCCTTTAATCTTATTCATTTACTATAGAGTTAAATTCATTTGTTAGTATGCATATCCCCTTAAACCCTTCCTCCCCACACAGACTGATTGCTTTGGATTATTTCTTATTTCAAGGGGGTATGTGAGCATTGCTATGGTCTATGAATCAGATCTGTATAAAATGCTGCACTCAGAGCAGGAACCCTCCCTCCTCAGTCTCCCCTCTTTCTTGTTTCTTTCTTCTCTGCACCCTTTCCACCCACTCCTCATAGGTAACTAACATCTTTAGTTTCTGGATTATCTTCCCGTATTTCTTCATACAAGAGGGAAGATCCCTGAGTATCTTCTTATAATGAATGGTAGCTTATTATAAATATTCTTGGGTTTTTATTTTTTTTCATGGAAGAGTAGGAGATGGAATCTTTACAATTTTTAAAATAACGTTGTTTCAAAAGGCTGAACAATGCTGGGTAATCAGATAATCTCTAACCCCTTTAAAATAAAAGGGGTGGTTTTATCTGGAAGACTAGGAGGGTGTCCTAGTGTGGAGAACCAGTCTAGAAAGATTAAAGAGTCCCTGGTTTTTAAACACATTAAGTCAACCTTCTGGGAAGAACTGTATCTTCCTTAATCTGCCAAGAAATGAGAATCAGATGGTGACAATGTTGTCAAAGAAACTCCAGGCTGAAAGAGAGCAAAGTGGTACTGATCCGAGGCGCCTGAGAACTCCTGTTTTAGAGAAGACCACAAATTCCGCTGATGCTCTTCCAGCTTCTGGCTGTCACAGGTCGTGTTGTTGCTCAGCTTTCCTTGGTGCTCTCCCAGGATGGTCCCCTGTGTCGGTGTTTCTCAGACTTCAGTGTGCACATACACCACACAAGGAGCTTGTTAGAATGCAGATTCTAGGGCTGGGGTGGTGGCTCAGTGGTAGAGCGCTTGCCTACCATATGTGAAGCACTGGGTTTGATCCTCAGCACTGCATAAAAATAGAGAAATCAAATAAAGATATTGTGCCTATCTATAACTAAAAAAAATTAAAAAAAAAAAGAATGCAGATTCTGCTCTGCAGCTCTGTGTGAAGTTCATATTTCCACTTTTCTAACAAGTCCCTCATGTTGCAGACACTGTTCCTTTATGGGCCTCACTCTGAGTAGCAAGACTTACTGTCTCAGGTCCCCAGAACCTGTTTCTTGAATACAGAATCCACCTGCTTCCAACAATATGCAACACATTCCCGAGATAAGCTGATTCATAACTCCAGGCTTTGCATTCTCCCGTTTGCTAAACTCCATGAAATTCTTGATCTACTAATAAGACAAAGAATATAAAAACATTAAAACATGTTTACTGGTGCACATGACTCATTATAAAACAAAAGCTTTACATTTACGGAAAGCAGATCGCAAACCATTATAGGTATACCTGCTGAGCGAGGCAGATTAGATGCAGGTTTTTTGCAGAGCTTCTTTGATGTGTGCAGGCCAAGTTAAAGTAAAAATAACCATAGCTGTGGTGGATTTTGATTTTAACTCCATCAAGGAGGGTTAATTAGACCTTGGTCTTTTCATGATAGCAATCGCACAATGATCACAGTGATAGTACATAATACAGAATTGACTTTGTAAAATACTCCGCCACTTATTGCAAGTTTCCTGAATTGAATTTTGTTCATGCGTATAGAGTAAACTTGCCAACACATGGTAGATCTTAAAATCTCTAAAATATTTTTTACAAAACCAGAAATATATTTTTATGCCAAATTCAGGTGTGCATTAAGACACTGGAACTAAGAAAGTACAGGTTGTAAATAAATTTTTATGGTCAGCATCAACTTCTAAGTGTTGGCACACATATTCTACATCACCCTTAGTCAATAAATAGTGAATGAACTCAAATGCTTCTGGGCTAAAAAAAAAATATTCGATAGGTTTAGCTCTGACCCAAATAAGACATTGGGAGGACTAGGGGCATGCTGTATTCTTCAAAGATTAAGACTTGGCTTGACCTAGCTTTGGTTACTGCTCATGGTTTATTGGAACATACCATTGATGTCATCCAAAGACCTCAGGCAGGCTTTTGGAATCACTTGATTTTCTTAACCCACACACCCCTATTATATTGATTATCTAGTTGGATTGTATCTCTCAGTGTGTGGTTCTGAGGGGTTTATTTCCTCACTGTATCTCAGACCCTTCTCTCATTTTCCATCCTCATTAGGATCCCCTAGCTCAGGCCCTCCTTGCCCACCTAAGGCTTTCCAGGAGTCTAGCACCCGCCCCTGAGGCCATAACTGCAAACCGCCATCCGTGCTGCTATCTGAAACTTGCTAATGCACAACCTTGATCACCTGTCCCTCCAGTGCCTCCTGCAGGCCACCATGATGAGAACAGATTTCTCCATGTGCCCTTAGCTAGACCATCCACCCATCCTCCTTTTCTTACCTAAACTCTGCTCCTAACCATATTGTTCACCCCTGAGGGGCTGTAGCTGCCCCACACTGAGCCCCAGTACTTACTGTATTTTCAGGTGGGTCCTTATCCCACCCCACCTCTAATCTCTGCCTACTGCAATCTTACTTATCCCTCCATGTCCAACTTTCCTCTCCAAAGTCTTTCTTGATCCAAAAATAAGAAGATAATTTCTATTCCTGCTGGGAGCCATTAGCCAAGTAGGTATGACAATTTCCTTGCCAGCGTACCACATGTTGCAGTGACATTGAATGTAGGTGACCTTGCTCAAGGACCAAGGCAGATTAGGGTGTTCCCGGTTTTAAGATAATCGTGTTTAGGGCGTTCCCAGTTTAGGTTCCAGGTTTAAGGTTTAAGATTATTCCTGCTGGGAATAGGGCGTATCCTGCTGCCTGAGTTCCCCTTGAGTTCTCACGGGATTCAGACAGTATATTTTGGAGATAGAAGCCCAGTGGAGGTGGATTTGGGAAGAGAACGTGGATTTCCCCAGAACGTGATTGTAGACGGCTGGTGTGAGTTCAGGAATAAAGAGTTGCTGTTTGAATCTACAAGCTGTGTGGTGGCTCGTGATTTGTGCCCAGCCAGACTGCGGCATATTCCCTTAAACCTTTTCAACCTGGGGATAGCAGCTTATGGGGTACCACATTCTGCCTCAAGCAAAAGTGACTGGTATATTTGAGATTTTGAAGTTGTTACCATGGCAAAACCTAGTCCCATGAGCTAAGATCCAGGTAGGCAGGGATTTTGCCTTTTGACTTGAAATGTCTGTAACATCTAACACAGGGCCTCACATGTGACAGCAATGCAGAAATTATCTGTGGAATTAAATTTAACCCAACCACATCCAGGGTCAAAGGAAAAGTCAGGAACATCAGTAAGTAGCACTCTGGAGTTAGGCAACCACTTCTCAGCTTCATGATTGGGTAAGTGACCACTCCTGAGGCTTCAGCCTCCTTTACAGTGTTCTTGTAAGTGTGACATGAGATACTGTATATGCACAACAGATGACCAATAAATGTTACCTGTTATTACTTTTGTTATTATGCTCAGTCTTCAGTTCTAAAGTGCTATTTATTGCTACTTAACTACAGTGCTATACAAAGAAGAAATATATAGAAATCAAGTAACCAGAGTCCCACGGAATAGGACAAAAAGACCCAGCAGCACTGCAGCACCTCACACCAAGGCGTGCTGAGAACCAATGCAGAGAAGAAAAATGGCACGTGGGCTGGCGGCTGCTTCCTCAGCCTCCTGACTTACGGCAATGGGCTCCAGCTCCTCACAACCAGAGGGCAGCAGAATCCAGGAGGCTGGTGGTGCCTTCTCCACACCCAGAGTGGATCAGCTCACTACCCACACCTACTCTCAGGGGCCCCAACTTCAAAGACGTGTGGGTTGCTGCCAAAGATGGAGCAGGAGCTAATGTCACCAGCCAGGAAGAATAATAAGCAAATGCATTAACTAAGGCTAATTAGTCTTCTATTTTTGTCTCTAATCATTTCTTAAAACCAAAAAAGTCATTATAGTCAATTGTGTCTTCAGTGAAAGATGTACTTGAATTTCTATATGTGGGCTACATTTTACATGTCACGCATCCAGCAGGATCTTAGACACACTATGTTTAGATGGTCACCTGTAATCTTGCCTAAGTCTTACTTTAGCTATGATTATCCTTCTGATGAAAAATAAACAGAACATAAATTTCTTCCTTTGTGTTTATTCTACTAATATTTCTTGAGTGCCCACTGTTATGGTTTGGATGTGAGGTGTCCCCCCAAAAAAGTTCACATGTGAGCGATATAAGAAGGTTCAGATGAGATATGATTGGATTGTGAGAGTCTAAATCCAATCAGCAAATTAATCGCCTAATGGGAATAACTGAGTGGTAACTGAAGTGGTAGGGTGTGGCTGAAGGAGGTAGGAATTGGGGCAGGGCTTTGGGTTTATATTTTGTATCTGGAGCATGGAGTCTCTCTCTCTCTCTCTCTCTCTCTCTCTCTCTCTCTCTCTCTCTCTCTCCTTCCTGATCATGACATGAGTTACTTCCCCCCACCATGATTTTCTGCCTCACCTCGAGCTCCAATAATGAAGCCTGTTGTCTATGGGTTGAGACCTCAAAAACTGTGAGCCTTCAAATAAACTTTTACTCCTCTACAATTGTTCTGGTTGGGTCCTTTTAGTCACAGCAACAAAATAGCTGGACTAAAACACCCACCACATGCTGGACATGAGCCTCACCCCCAAGAACTCAAGGAAATGGCTGAGGAGAGTTTGGACGGACACTGAAGGGTCTTCTAGAGGTTTATACAAAATCCTGTGCCTAGCCTTGTTAAATACTTTTATCGTTGATTTGGTGAAACACAAAGAAGAAATGTTCATTAAGTTTATAGATATGGTACATCCATATCTGGGAGAAATAACTATAGATGACATGATCAGGATTAGAAATGTCCTCCACCAGATGAAACAGTGCTGAAACCATAGTGAGGAAACCAATAAAAATAGACGTCAAGTTCTGCATGTAGGTACAACATCAATATACAAACACAACTTCAATGGCTCATGCACAAAGACTCAGGGGCTTTAGTTGGTTATGAGTTCAAAGTGTACTAAACACGGTAGCGTTTGCCTCTCATTGGGAGTACAGTCTTGGGCCAATGAACCTGCCATTGCATAGGAGTTTCAAGTTTAAATGGAACATTGGTTGAAAAGAGAAATTCAGGGGATTTAAGATGGTGAAATGTGGACACTCATGGTGGCACACACTGTAACTTCAGCCACTCAGGAGGCTGGGACAAGAGGATCTTGAGTTCAAAGCCAGGCCTTAGCAACTTAGTGAGATCCGAAGCAAATTAGCAAGACCCTGTCTCAAAATTAATTAATTAATTAATTAATTAATTAAAAGGGCTGGGGAATGTGGCTCAGGGATTAAGTGTTCCTGGATTCAATTCCTGGTACAAAAAAAAAATTTAAAAAAAAGAAAAGAAAAGAAAAAAAACCAAACAAATGATGAAATGTTATTAAACATTTTAAGTGAGGAATGCTACAACAGAAATCACCAAAAGTGTTATAGTTATGTTTAAAAAAAAATGTCAAGGACTGTGTGGTTGTTTCAGAGCACGTTAACTTAACATGAGGTATGTCTCATAAAGAACGCCATGCAGCCGTGGCACAGGGGGCCTGAGTGGGATTGAGCTTCTTATCTTGTCCTAGGAGCTTTCATGCTAAGTCAGTGTTTGCATGACCCAGCGATTTGGGAGGGAGAAAGAAAATCTTTCACTTTGGCCTCTGCCCTTCACAGCTCAGTCTAGCCCTACAACAGAGTTTTGAATAGGGCCTGCTTATTTCTATCATGCGGTTTTCCATTTTCTTCTAAGAATACATGATTTTAGAAAGGAAGGCAGTGGCAAAAGTAGGAGTGCCTTATATACATTGGCCCTGCAACCACAGTGAGCATAAGTCATTTGTTTACAAAAACAAAGGTTAATCACATTCAAAAGCTTTTTAACTCTCCTGCCAGTTCACATACCGGGCTGTACATTGCAGGCACAAAATGCTGTGCTTGGATAACCTACTGCCATTCTAGAAAACCGGGATGGACAGGGAACTGTTTCACCGTTTCCTCCAAGCTGCCATATCCTAGCACCCTGGACAACAAATTAGTTGAAATTCCAACAGAAGGAAGTTTATGTGGCTTTTTTCCCCTATATAATAGATGCTCTGTAGAGTACTGTGTTTCGTGCTGTGACAATTTATTCCTGCACTTGTGACAGGACCGCCAGCTGATTTCACTCTGCTCAATTAGGAGAAAACGCATATTTTAATCTGCCCCGTGGTGAGGTAACACTTTGCTCAGTGGCCTTGGCAAACCGGCCACTTAACCGTTTAGGTGGCTGGAAGCGTCCGCTCCAGCCGTCGGTGTGCTGCCAGCAGCCTCTCTAGTCTCATTTGGCTGCCAACACTTCCCGGGTTTCAGAGTACAAACAATTAAAGGCTACTCCATCATTCTTTGAGCCACTGTGCTGTGGCTGGCCCCCTCTGCAGTGGCCGCCATCCTGGCTGCTGGCGACGAGCTGAGGGCCAGGCGTGTGGAGTTGCAAGTGCCGTCCTGTCCGGGCCACAGAGCCCAGCAGGAATCCTGCACAGGGCCTTTCTTCCCAGGCCCTTTCTGCCCCTGGACTGAGGCTAGCATCTGGGCCTGCCTCTGCGGGAGCTGGAGGGGCTGGGCCAGCTCAGCCTGGCCTTGGAGAACAGTGCCCATCTGCATTGCCTGCTGGGACTGGCTGTCCCCGTGGCCATCCCATCACTATGGCTTTCATCTCCCTGGTTTAAGAGCAAAGTGATCTTTTTTGTTTTGTTGGTTTTCCAATGAATGGGATGATCCACGTGAGATATTTTCTTCCTTTCTATTCCATCTTTTTCTTTCCCCCTCGCCTTGTAGATTCCTTGGTTCTTTAAGTCTTTTACACACCACTTTGGAAGTAGGTGGGTGGGGTGAGCCCAGGTGTGAATCATAGCTGGGGCCATCATGCAGGTAGAGGCACTGGGCGAGGTCCTTCCTAGGTTCACAGAGACCTGGATTTGGTCTTGGAGCTTCCTTCCTCTGACTAAAGGAATGTAATCTTTCTTAAGTCATAATTTTATTATTTTCAAGTAGAAAGAATAACAGTTCTAGCCTCATAGGGTGGCTAAAGATGACACATAAAGACACCTAAAGAGATATATACATCTAAAGGGCTAACATTGAGCTCCTGCCTGGGGTCACAGGAAGCACTGATAAAAGCACATTATCTCATTTAATTCAAGTAAGGACTTTCTTATTCTCTCCACTTTACAAAGACAGAGCCTGACCCTTAGAAGAACTAAGGACCCCACTGAGCTAGTGAAGGCTGGGCAGAGGGCTGGGGCAGGGGTTAGAACAGGGTCAGGGTGAAGGTTTGCTTTATTCTCTTCCAAATACCAAAGATGTCTGGACTAGAGGTAAAGGCTGGGCTTCCAGAGGGGAGATTCCCACGGAGTCCAAGCTGAGGGCCCCAGTGGTGGATAACATGCCTATGTTTTTCTCAGAGCCCAGCACTTCTGAGAAGTGCTAGGAAAAAAAAAAATCTCCAGAATTTTAATTATCCCTGATTTGTTTTTTAAGCCAATTCTTCCCAAATGGTTTCCTCTATCTCCACAGCTGACAGCCTAGGGTCAGGCTCAAGCCTTCCCTGAGCCCAGGTCCTGATGCTCTGGGTTTCTGTTTATGGAGCTGAAGTCACTGAGCACTTTGTGTGAACTTGTCTGAGGACCAAGTACAGACAGTGGGGTGGGACCAGACAGTTGTAAATTCTGTGCAAGATCATCCCATTTCCGATGATTTTGCAGAGCCTATGTATGACTTGTGCTTCAGGATCTCGTCACTAAATCACTGCAACTTGGGGCGGGGGGAGGCAGCAGCCCCAGGATCCCAGGCTGTTTTCCTAAGAGGCACTCAGAGATACATACCAGCCATCCTTTCTCCCTCGCTCCCCCTCTCACCTGACCTCCTCTCTATTCTAGCGTAGCAACCTCGAAGGATCAAGAGTCTGAGGGCCCCACTGGTAATAATGTCCAAGAGGGAAAATTACCATCATCCATGCCCATACTTCCCTTGAAATGATGACACCACCCCAGGGCTTACTAACTGGGCCAAAGGGTTGGACTTAAAGACCATCATTTTCACCTGGAACTTAAAATGAGTGGGATGCAAAATTAATTTTCATAGCTGGAAAATCTTTCCTGGGAGACCTGGAATTATCACCCAGTGGTAACACTTTTCCTGCTGCAAATCCCTGTCCTGGAGCTAGACTGTATCAAAGGTTCCCACATGTGACTGTGCAGGAGCTGGTCTGGGCAGGGGCCAGGGGTGTGTTCTGAACTCAGGCTGAGGGAGTCCTCTTGGCTCCCAGCCCTCTAGCCTCAACCTCATGTGGTTTCCTCTGTAGAGAACCCCAGCTCCTGGAGGAACAGTTGCCAGAAACCCAGAGGTGAGCACCAGTGCTACCTTGGATTGCCTAATTTCCAGTTCCTCTTGTCCATCATTGGATTTTTCTTTTATAATTTGAGGCAACGATCAATGGGAGGGGAGGGGAGGGGAGGGGAAGGGGGGATAGGAAGGGCAGCAGAATAAAATAGACACTAGTATTGCTGTATGTATATACGTGGCCGTATAACCAATGTGATTTTGCAACCTGTACACTTGGAAAAACGAGAAATTATACCCCATTTGATTCAAATGTATGATATGTCAAGATCATTGTATTGTCATGAGCGACTAATAAAAAAATATAACATTTTACAATGTTCCTTAAAAAGAAAAAAAAGAAATGAGAGGAAGAGAGAAAACTGGGACTGGCATCATGAATTCTTGAACCACGCATGTGGTCTCACAAGGCCTGTGCTCAGAATGGAACAGAGCTTGTTTCTAATGCTCTGCTATTACCATCTTGAAAGTCTGAAACTTTTGGACCTGAGGCCTAGTATTCTCATTTATGTAGTGAGTCCTAGAAAACAAGCATATATTGAACACTTGAGACTTTTCCAGGATAATGGCTCCCAAACTCTGCTGCACATTAGAAACACCCAAGAGACTTTAAAATCTTGATACCCCAGGTCACACACCAGAGCAACAAAATCAGAATGGCAGGGAGTGGAAGATAGACCCCAGAATTTTTTTTTTTTTGT